GCCAAAATAGTGAAAGTAACACAAAAGACACACAAACTGAGGCTGTTTCCCCCAAAAGAAACTAAGCTGTGAACTAAAAGTGAAACAAACAACTAACAGAAGGAAACGAAATTCAATATTTTCTCCCACACTCGCTGCTTTTAGCGCAGGCGACTCTGTTTGCAAACAGCTTTTATGAACACGTGAAGGAACGCTTCTGTTTTATATTCGGACAGTTTGAGACTCTGCAGATGTTTTAACGACCTGAACTTGGCTTTACCTCTGAAGCGCCACGGTCTGTGTTTAAACGGAAACTATTTTGTGGTGCTCAGACAAAACCAAAAGCACTTTCTTTCATTTCTAGAAAACGTGTGACGTTCAGTCAAAACGAGAGCAGCAGACTGAAAATGCGTCTGCGATGCTGTGACTTCCAGATAATGACCGGAGGGCGATTGTGAAAGAATGCCTGTAAACTATTCCAGTGCGCCGCCTCGACCGCGTGAGTTTCTGCCTCTGGTTTGTGTCGACAGAAGATAAACGTTGAGCGAACCAAGCGTGAAGATTAAAAAGAGTCTCTCGGTGTGAAAATACGTCACAGTCAGATTCGAGGCAGATGAAGGTAGATGTTTGTCAGCATCAGCAGGAAGTGTTTGGAGGGCGTCAGATAACGAAGAGCAAACGAAGATTATGAACACGTCACTAATATTTCGACACATTTCCTCCTAGAAAAACCCTCCACGTCTCTCTGTCGACTGGAATTTTTTCTTGTTGCTTTTCTCTCCCTTTTTCGTCAGAACATAAAATAATAAGAGAAAGTGCAAGTCAGGGTCAGTTCACTGGAACTTAAATGCTCAATTAGTTAGTTACAGAGAAATGGGAAATTACTGCCCCACTTTACGTCACATCAGGCTGATTTCCTTGAAACCTTAAAGCACACATTTGCCTCTAATATTACTGTGCAACTTAAACAAGCCTATTTCCTACATTAAAGTCGCTCCCTGGTCTTTAATTAAACCCTAAACAGTTTCACATTTAGAAGGTTTCCCATTAAAACAATCTCTTTATGCATTATTTTCAACTTAGATGTAAGAATGGACACGCTACTCTGCACAACAGCAAGCTCTAATATTGGAACATTTATACATGTTTGAACTTGAACCGTAGGAGGAGAAATGACACAGAAAGCTCCACATGATCCTCCTGTTCTTTGGGTTTGTTACATGTGAACGCATCCAGAAGTCTGAGCTTATGTTTGTGTTGTCATGATACGTCTTTATCGACATGTTAACGAGCTCAAAAAACTCCAGAGGGGACTTTTAAAACTGCAAAAATCCACCTAAAGTTCCCAAACTAACATCATCCATTATCTATACACCGCTTAATCCTCACTAGGGTCATGGAGGGCTGGAGTCTATCCCAGCTGACTCAGGGTGAAGGCAGGTTCACCTGGACAGGTCACCAGTCTATCACAGGGCTACACTTAGAGACAGACAACCAAGCACACTCACATTCACACCTACGGACAATTTAGAATCACCAATTAACCTCAACATGTTTTTGGACTGTGGGAGGAAGAACCTGGAGAGAACCCACGCTGCACGGGGAGAACATGGAGACTCCACGCAGAAAGATCCCAGGTGCTTCCACCGGGTAGCAAACCGGCGACCTTCTAGCTGCGAAGCAACAGTACTAACCACTGCACCACCTTATCCATCTTATATGGAATTTTTTTCTTTTTAATTTCACACGAAAACTAACTCTAAAAATGTGAATAGAACACAGAGCCAGGCTGTTTCCAGTCATTGTGCTAAGCTAATCGCTAAATAAGACACAAGAGGAGAATGGATTTTCTCATTTAACGCTTAAAACTGAATCAGCAGCTAAATGTCAAACTGTTCTTTTGAGTCCGTCCACCCTGAGCGTCCCTGTACTGACACCAGGCTGTATCTGCTTATTTCACTCATTATGTGAATTCAGCTAATTAAAAAAACACCATATGGACGCGTTAGCAACATTAAAAAAAAAAGGGATTTTCATTGGCGATGGTCGACAATTATTTAAACATTTTGGCTGCAAACTGTGAAAAATGCCCGTTACAGGCTTCCCAAACATGTGGTGACATTTTCACACGTTGTCACAGAAAACTAAGAAAACCACAAAAACATTCACACGTAGGAAGCTGGAACCACCGAATGTCTGACAGCATCGCTCATAGAAACACCTGAAATGACTGTCGCTGATCAGTTTGCTGTCACGCAACTATTTCAGGGCCGAATTTATTCAAATCAAATATTCAACCAGCAAAGAAAACACAGGAAAAGACAAAAGCGTTCTCAGTTTGTGAAATGTTAATGCAATCCTAATCCAAATCTTAATCATAAAACCAACAACAAACAGAAAAAACTGAGGATCACAAAGGCAAAACAGAGCTGAACAGAGCAGCAGATGTTGATGTTGTATGTTTAACAAGAAACTGCAGGTTTCTCACCTTGCGGCCGACGTAAACCGGGATGCCGATGACCATGGCGGGAACAGCGATGCCTGCGATCAGAGTGATGCCGACCGGAGCGCCGATCAGAGTTCCCAGCTGCCACAGAATCTTCTTCTTCCTGCTCCAAGGCTTCTTCCCCCAGAATGTACAGCCAGAAGGACTGGAGGAGGGAAAACAGACGGAGGAGGAGGAAGATAAGAGTTCATCCTTTGAACCCCGAAACCCACTGCTGGGTTTGAAAGGCGTGTTTTCTTCACAAAATCAACAAATTTACAACATTTTTCACAGCTAGGAACCGGTAAACCAGAAAGGATTGTCTGACTTTTGAACTACTCGTTTGCGCAAGCTGCTTGGTTTAAAAAAATTCAGCTTAAAATCAGAATATTTAATAAAAATCACTGAATTCCAAACATTTTGTTTAAAAAAATACCCTAAAATTAGCTGTTTGCTCTAAAAAGATTCTGTAAAAAACAAAAAATTCAAGGCTCCTTTGTGAAACCATGGAGCCACTAGTGACTCAGCTGCAACCAACAGTCATGTAAAAAAAAAAAAAAAACACAATTGTGGGAACTTTTGGCTGAACTGCAGGCTGTGTCTACATGAAACACAGCATGGAAGTAGAGTAGAGCAAGTGACAGCACAATAAAGCAGATGTGAGCAGTAAAATAAATACTGAACGGCTCTGAAACAGCATAAAGTTGTTGAATGATACGTTCAGTACGGTGACACATCTCTCTGGAGCTGCTGTGCAGAGTCGTGTGAAGACACCGTGTTTGTAGAGGTTGTAAAAATGTAAACAGCAAAATATCTATAGATGGCAGAGCCACTGTTTTTATTTCCAGATGTGGTAACACCTGTAGTCATTTGGGAAAATGTTGCACATGTTGATTCCAGGTTCTGTTTTTGCAAAATAAAGAATCAGTTCAATTATTTATTTTTTTATGACGTCTGTCAATCTAACTGAAGCCACGTTTACACGTAGCCGGGTATTTACATACATGGATCTACTTTTTCAAAAACAACATTGTTGATCGTTTTCAAAAAAATCTTCGTCAACACAAACCCACATAAACACATCGTTAAGAGCTGCTGTGAGCGGGCAATGTAACGAGAAGCATAAATCTGGGGTAGCCAATCAGAATCCTGGAAAAAAGACAACAACGAACAGCACAAACTACTTCCTGTAACTTCAACGATAATGGTGCGAGGGTCGTTTGTTTGGACAGACAGAGAAGTGGAGCTGCTCCTAAATGTGGTGTCAGAGTACAAAACAAGGAACATACTTGATTTCTATCACAGAAGCCAAACCGTAAACATGGTCGCACACACATGACGCTGATGATGCTCAAACTCCGCCTCCTCCCGTCTACATACAAACGTAGACGGAGTTTTCAGAAGTGATCGTTTTCGGTGACTTGAAGCTTTGTTTTCGTGTAAACCAAAGGTCCAAACACATTAAATATCATGTTTTTGCGACGTGTAAACGGGGCCTAAGACATGTCTGACATCTATCTTCTTCATGTTTGTTGTGTTTCCATAGAGGTGCAGGACTTTATGTTGCATTGAAAAATGACTCCACAGTGAGTAAAAATGTGACAGGAGCAACAACAAAATGCTCAGAAGCTGCTTCAGAGGGTTTAAAGGATCTGCTGGAGGTCTGGGGTTGACCGCACAGCAACAGAGCATGATGGGACGCGAGTACCTGAGGTAGTGCAGGTCGGAGATCTCCTTCATGCAGAGCCAACAGAACTCGCAGCCGCACACGGCGCAGGTCATGTGATTGCAGCTGCCGTCGTTCATCTTGATGATGTAAGCGCCACAGCGAGGGCACGGCTTGATGTCATCAGCTGGGGACGGAGAGGAGACGAGGTCAGCATCACTCACAGCATGAAAACAGTCGAAAACGATGGAGTAATTTGGGGAACGAGCTTATCCGGAAGAGATCTTTTTGCTTTTGTCTGATTTGTGTACAGTGAGTAAAATGTGTATTCTGGAGTGATTTATGATTTATAATAGTTTAACTCTTTACGACAACATACAGAAGAGAAAACAAAGAAAACACATAATTCATGTCTTTACGCTTTGCATAAACATTAGTTTTGGGTTATATTGTGTGTTCCTTAAAAAGATGTTCACTGTAAAGCTTCCCACTTGTCTCATCTGAACAATATTCACCTTTATGTTAAAGTTCTAATCGTGCTTTTAAATGAGGTTTGTGTTTATTGTATTTGCAAAAAGAGTCCAATCTCATGAATGGAAATTTCCTCAAATCATGTTTGATGTCGATTTTAGATTTTAGATGGACGGGAAGTTACATAGTCGGATTTTAGTTGGATTTACACAAGCTACAGAATTTTTTTTCCCATTCAAATGATGCCTTTCTGCCTTAAAATTGCTGAGACGTGAGCTCAACACAGCAGCTCACCTACAACTTTACCCAAACACTAAAACTACGGCATTAACAGGATCGGTCGTTTAGGTTTTTTACATACGAAACCCTAGCAGTCAGAATCTTGTGTTTCTGGAGGCTGTCATCAGTAAAAAGCTCAGACATGACTGCTTATTTCCCTCATAAGTCTTCCTGCATGGAAAAAAACACCATCTGGCTACGTTAGCAAGTTTAAAAAAAAAAAAAAAAAAGGGTGATTTTTACTATTGCAGACGTTTAATTAGCAAACTCTTAAGATGCTGGTAGGAAGATTTTGTCATTTTTGGACCGACTCAGACTACCTGTGAGCTCTACTTTGCTGGTTGTAGCTTCACATTCAACATACTGTGATTAATGACGACGGTTTCCTCATCCAACTGTTAGCAGGAAGGTGAATAAGCATTTTCCCAGAATGCCTCCGGTTCCACTGAAACACACAACAGCCCCCTCAAATCCCAAAGCGTCCTGCAGCCTTTCTTGTTTTGAAACTCTGCAGCTTCTAAACACCAGCAGTGACTCGGAAAGAAATTCAAGGATTTTGGCACCAAAAGCAAAATCAACAAATAGGTCTTTAAATCCCAGTCGCCTAAAAACGACACAAAACTCCTTTTTTGCATCGAATTTAAATGAGACTGCAAGACTTATTCTGTGTGTTTTTGCAGATTTGAGTGCTTTAAATTTTTTGAATATAGTAAAAACTCGTTCGATTGCTGTCTTTGGTTGTTTTCTTTCCTCTTGGCAACGGGATCAAACCTCATTAGAGTAATGGATTGGACAACTGTATTACTTTAATGCATCTGAAGGGGGAAGGAAAGCCAAGAAGCTGTTTGAATTCTGGTGCTGGATCTGCTCTTTAAAGGGCATTTTGGCATTTTAACTTGCAGCGACTGTGGCAGATGTGGCTGAAACTGTGTAGGAGTCGATGTTATTGTCTGTATTCTGCTGACACGACTCACCGCACTCCCTCTGCTCTCTGCTTCGCCCTCACTTTATTCCACTTCTCTCTTTATTTTCCATTCTTATCTCAGTTTTCCTACCATGTCCTCTCCTCTCTGGTTCTGTCTGTCTGAATGCGGTTGACTAAGCAGCAGGTAAACAGACACACGGACAGAAAGAGGGAGCGGCTGGACTTTTGCTATGAGTCAGTTCTGGATCGCCGTCAGTCCGTCGGAGGACTTGGCACAGAGCGATGGACTGGAAGTAGTGAATTAAGGAGGGCAGCTGGAGAGATTTACTTAATGGATTTTTAATCAAAATGGGATTAAACACACACATGCAACAGGGATGTTTGCACGGATGTTTGTCAGGATTTGTCTGTTTGCATCTATCATCACTACAAGAAGTGTAATAAGGAGCTAAATAAGACGTTTTGCTTCGTTGCGCTGATTTCTGTCAGTTTAATATGAAGCTGCAGCCAGTTAGCTTAGCATTACCAATGGAAATAGTTGGAGTTTCTCTGACCACACCAGATAACAAAATCCACCCAAGTTTCACTAATTAATATGCTACATGGGATTATTTGTTTACTCCATTGTGTAAAAACATCAACATGAGACAGAAGTCACTCTTTATGCTACGTTAGCTAGTAGGTGGCAAAAACACAACTTTTAAAAGTAAAACAACAAATCAACTATAATACACACTGGTACCTTTGTAAAAATGTGTGTATTTGCATCTATAGTCACTACAATAAGTATGTTAATGCATTAAATACACTGTTTTGCTGTATTGCATTCACACCTGTCCGCTAAATACTAAGTTACAACTTGTAGCCAATTAGCTTAGCATGAAGAATGGAAACTGCTAGCATGGCTTTGTCCACACTAAGTAACAAAATCCAACCAAAGTTCACTAATAAACATGGTATGTGGAATTATTTGTTTTTTCTAATTCACACAAGGATGCTTGCAAAAATGTGCAAGTTTGCATCTATCATCGCTACTACGAGCTAAACATTTTGCTTTCTTGTCGCCCATTAGATGAGAAGATCAATGCCATGTTGACATTAACAGCAGCTAGTTAGCTTAGCATTAAACTGACATCAGGGCAAACAGCTAACTTGGTAACAAAATCCACCTAAAGTGTAAAAACTAAAACCAAAACCAAAAACTAAATGGCAAAAATGTTAGTATTGGACAGATCCCAGGCTTTACGCTAAGGAAAGCTAATAGTAGAACGGGTGTTTATAGAGATTGGTATGTTTGCATCTATCATCAGTACAGTGGCTCTATCCACATTAAGTAGCAAAATCCACCCAAAGTTCACTAACTAACAAGATATATGGAAGTACTGGTAGTGGTTAATAACATACAACCTGTATTTGTGATTTTAAGAGACCACTGATGCCTCCCACATGTAAATTTCCTCCTAGATAACTGCGGAAACCGAGATTTTCAAGTTTCAAAAAGTCTAAATTTAGCTGTGAGGAGTTTTCCAGCTTCACATTAAACCAACATTGCTTTAAGCTCTTCAAAAACACCAAAAAGGAACATGGTTGCATTCTGCAAACGAGTGCTGCTGCTGTTTTCTTAAGTTAGTCTGCAGATCAAACGACTTTTTTCACATCGTGCAACACCTCGAGCGAGCAGCTTCATCAACGTGCTGCTTTGGATATCGGGCCTAGCTAAGGTTATTCTGAGAAATGTTTAGGTGACATTTGAAAATGCAGAATGACAGGATGCAGAATGCTGCAGACATGAAACTATCAAGTGCAGAAAGTGTGATATAAATAGTGTCTCATGCTCGACTGAACGCTGCACACTTCGCCCAGCGGTGAGAACGTCGACTTTGACTCAGCGCTCCGACAGATTGAGGATCTTGACATGTGATAAAGACTGACAGCGACAGAGCGGCAGAGACTTCTCAGAGGTGTGAAGAATATTTTCAGGTCGATTACGCCGGAGGAGAAGATTTTATCTGCGTGTTTATGTCAGTGCGCACATCTGCACGTAACTGTCACCGCGTCAGACTGTGGTTAGTTCTGATCTCGGAGGCGACGGCTTTCCTGGTACTCACCGGGTCCCTGCTCCTGGGTGTAGCTGGGCGAGTGGTTGCTGTGGGTGTGCAGGGATTGCGCCCTCTGTTGGCGGGCCGAGTCGCAGGTCTGGTTGGGGTGCCAGGCCTGTTTACAGTGGTAGCAAAACTCTGCGCCGCAGCCTTCTCTGCGACAAACCAGCCTGGGACAGCTGGCACAGCCCGAGGCGATGACGGCAAACCTGACAGGAGACGACAGAGGAGGAACAAATTAGTCAAATGAGGAAGTTCTGAAGCACTGATTGACAAATAATCACATTTTAGGCACCATTAGCCGTTTTTCCATTTGAAACAAACTTTGAAGTGTCATCAAAAAAGCTTGTTTTTACTACATTAGTTGTAACAAATAAACTAGGCTGTGGACTATTGTCAGAAGGTGGTGCCATATCCTGAATTTCCCCGATGGGCATCAATAAGGAATTATCTTATCTCTCTTACAGGCTACATGGCTGCAATACACAGAGTAGAAGAAGCCGCAAAAAAGCCAGTGTTTTTGCCAACTGCTAAACAAAACTTTGTCCATCTATGAGAGAAAAATGGAGAGTGGTTTCCAGGAATTTTGTGAGGAAAGTTGTAATTATTCTCTCGTGTCAGCTGGCATCGACCATGTTTTATTGCTGTGCAGAAACAAAAACAATGAAAGATGTGGAAACAGTTGATTAGTCATCTGAGTTAAATGTTCTCTACCTCAGAACTTGTTCAACTTATTCAGAAAGGTGTTTCCATCTCCCTTGAAGCTCATTAATTCTTTGTTGAAAATGTCTAAAACCACCTCACCGAACTTTAAGGATGTTTTTCTTTAATTTTAACATTTCTATCACTTTTTCTAATGCAATACTTTAAAATGGACAGAACCTATGCTATGAACACACAACTATTGAGAAGACTGAACCAAGCACAAGAGTTTAAAAGAGCTGCTGCTGATCCGGCTGAGGATTAACATCTCAAGACACCTTCTACACCTTCACACCTCAACAAACAACAAACTGCCGGCAGCTCTCATAGCTCTGGACAGATTCTACCAAACCTGCACCGCAGTCAAATAAGATATTCACACACCAGACATTGATTCTGTTTTCTGTATACCTGACGAACAAGCACATGCAAATCTTTATAACTGACTTTGTCGACGGTCTTCACAGGAAATTTATCTTGAAACAAGAGTCAGAATTACAAACAGGGACATAAAATGTGCATTTGTTTTTGCCATAACGATGATGTTATATATTACCATTCTGCCTCCCATTACCAAACATTTTACCTCTGAACTCAAATGATTTGACTTTTTTCAGCCTGTCCAGCAGCATTTCTTAAAGTATGTACACCAATAAGCCACGACATTAAAACAACACTAAAGCCTCCTCTTGTGCCACCACAACAGTTCTGACGCATCGAGGCCTGAACTCCGAAGAAAGTGTCCTTCGGTTTCAGGCACCAAAACTTTAGCAGCAGAGTCTTTAAATCCTGGAAGTTGTGAGGTGGATGCTTAGTGTTTTTCCAGAACATCCTACAGATCCTCCATTGGATTATGTTTTGGTAGATTAGGAAGCTGAACCAACACCTTGAACTCTTTGTCAGGTTCCTTTAAACGCTCTTGAACAATGTTTGCAGCACGGCACAGATCATAATCCTGCTGTTTTGTTGATGTTCTGACTCAGTCATCCACCATCTGCCCCTTTTAGAGTCTCTTAGATCCTTCCAACCCACTAACTCCAAGAACTGAGTGCCTACATGCTGCCTAATATACCTCACCTATGAACAGGTGACACTTTAACCCGATAATTAATGTTATCGTCAGTGGTTTTAATGTTGTGGCTGACCAGTGCACTCTGTGTCATCTATCTGCAACCACATGCTGCCGACACTGAGTGAAATATTCAAACCCAGGCCACCGCATTTAGCAACATGTGACATAACCCAGTGGTATCTTTAGAAATGCTGCAAACTGTTGAGTCAACCAGAGCTTCAGATCTCCAATATGGCCACTAATGGGCACATTACGGAGCCTAAAAGCTCTCAGTGGACTGAGAGCAGAGAGAAGATTTGATCAATGGCGCAATCACTTACTAACAACACTGAGAGAGCAGACAAAAGAGACGGGACGAGGTCAATCAATATGGATTTCACAAAGTACAATAGTGAGAGAGGAGCAGAGCGTTCACTGAACATACAGCCGTACGCCAGTAATGACGCAAAGGTGTTTAGCAATGAAACACTGCCTGGAATATGTGTTTATTTTAACTTTTACCTGGACTGTGTTTGGTTGGGGAGAACAGAAACAAGATTACGCCACAACAGATGACTGGTTTTACTTAGGAAAGTACAACTAATCTAAGCTGACACAACAGAAACTCTTTGGAAAAAGGGAGGCACTTTGACAAAAATACTTAACAGATGACTGGATGTGTCTATCACAGTCTGTCGAGGGTTAACGCTGCATTCAATTCACCTTAAAAGTGGGAAGTCAGACGTTGAAATTACGTCATTTTAAACAGCTGCATGTTTGTCGTGCAAAGTAGTTAAGAAACCGTGGCTGCCTCCAGGTGTGTTTTGTTGCTTGTACATGCTCAGCAAACACTTGCATCAGACAGTAGTTCACGTGACTGACGGAACAGAGGAGCGGAAAGGTACAAAAGTAAGGTTGTCTCATGTTTTCAAAATGTAGAAATCGTACCGTTTATTGTGTAAAGTGCTATTTTGGGGAGTGAGGTAAAAAAATATGCGGACGTTGTGGTTGAGAAATCTTACCTACGTTACTGAGCAGGAAATCCGATGTCTAGCGGCATTTTTTATTTTTTTTTGTCACCAGACAGCACCTGTATTGTAAAACTATTGCAGGTCCACAAGCAGTGAGCTGATTCTTGTCGTGGTCATAACTGCCTTGTAAGCTAACAATTAATCATGAGAACTAATGTAGTTTTGCTGCTGCCATAACAAACTGGAATGACGCTGAGCCACTTTTTTTTTTTTTAATGTAAAGACAGAATATCTGTTGTCTGCATAAACCAGTTAAAATTGAAATCATAGATGTTAACAGTTATTAGGTGATTGATTGTTGCTAATAATTTTACTATTTAAAAATACAGTAAGACATTTAAGGTAGAAGAAGAAGGTCATGCATGTCAGAAAATGTGTTGTAGATCAGCTGCAGTACCTGGTTGTTCCACCAGGTGGAGCCTCTTACTGTTTAATACTATAGAGACCAGAGGAGGCGTCACTCAGACTACCAGCAGTTCATGTTGGCAAGCAGAGAGCATTGTGGGGGTTTAGCTAGTAAAGGGGCATCATGACTTGTATTGCAATGGCTAGCAGTAAACAAGTACGTTTACATTTCTAATCTTACTCTCTGACGACAACATTTGCGACATAATTTGGCTGGTGTCATCAGGCTATTTGTGAAAGGAGAATCTCATGTAAGTAACTGAAGAACGCTGATAGAACATGGAGGACTCGCCACTGTATTGCGTTCACGCTAATGCTAACGCTGCAGACTATTGGTTAAAAATTTGTTTTAAAATTTTGCATCCCCCAAAACAAATACATTTTTTCTACGCACTTGAAGATCCAAACATCACTGAAATGTTTGAGATGGAAGAGAGTCAACAAAAACAAAAGGTCGGCGTTGTCATATTGCCATTTTTAAGTTGATTGATTCACAACTTGTGCATTGATGCAAGAAAACATTTAAGCTTAAAAGTTGCCGGAGATTTTAACTAGTAAACCTGAAAAGGCACGATAATGTCCTTTAGTTATTTTTTGGAACAGCTAAAAAAGTAATAGCATATATAATAATACAACAAAAACCCTATTTCTGACTATGTAACGCATTCTTTACTGTTAATACTAGACAACAAGAGCAGGACAGGATGGATGTAAGTCTTCAGATCAGAGAGCTAAGCTTCTGTTTTCGCCAGTAAATTAGTTGCAACATGACGAAAGCAGGATAAACGTATTCGTCAAACTTCCAGTACTTTAACAAATCACTCCTGGAAAACAGTAAATCCGTTTCATTATGATGCACCATGCCGTCATCTCTTTGTGTCCGACTAAACTTTGCAACACGTTCAGAATTCCAGCGAACAAACAAATCCACAACGGAGGCAAAAACGGACAAAAAAAAAAAAATCAAATTGCACGTTCTTTTCTTTTTATAAACTTCATGAAGACTACCAACTTTCACTATAAATACACCGAACTAACCTCAACTGTTTTGTGCGCCCGAGTTCAGCGGCGCACGTCTTCGCAGATACCGTTAAATATAGCAATAACGCGTGACATATTGGAACGATAAGGACGGAAATTAAAGAAAAGCGTGAGAGACTGAGATATGAGAGAGTGTCAATCACTGCAGGAATCACAAAGGAGGCCTGTCACGGAGGAAAAGTGGGAGAAAACACGTCGGAGGAGTGAAAACAAAAGCAGGCAGCGATTTTCGGCGACTAAACAAAGACGCTGCCACTTTCCTGCTTGCGTTTTTTTAAAGTCCCGTTATTAGGAGGAAGAGCAGCGTGGAGGAAGTGATAACATGACAAACTTGTAATTGTTTTGGCACGACTCCAGCCCAGCAGCCCCAACATGTCCGTCATCGCCACCTCTTCAAACGCCGCCGGTTCTCGGGACGCGACGAACATCAGAGCGGACACGGGTTTGCTTTTTCCGGAACAAGATTAGACAGAAAGTGACATTCCTGCAGAGTTAAACATCTCTCTGCAGAGAATATCCAAGTCGTTCTGTAATTATGGAGCGAATGCTTTGTTAAAGAACTACCCACAGCGTTCTCAGCAGAGGTCACTAACCGGCTCTTAAACAAATGCAGAAACTTTCGATTTAAGCGAAGCAAACAAAAACACAGAGATGCCAGTTTGGCGTTTTTGTTTTTTTGTCCTGCAGCATCAGCACTCTGCTGCTCCAAGGTCTCCTAAACAGAAACAGCAGCAGCACAGCGTCACATGAGTAATGAGCAGGCTCTTCACAGGAAGGCCGCTTTGTTGACCGTTTCTCTATTTTTAAATGTCTCTCTAGCCGTCATGTGAAAGCCCCTGTTTGTCATCTCGAGTCCAGCTGTCAACACTTGAGCTGGAACTTTCAGTCTGGTCACGCAGAGGTTCACTGTTTATGAGCTGCGTCATGAAAATCTAAGAAGTGGCACAAATGCTAATGCTGCACGGAGACGTTACAAAAC